CATGGAATCTCTCGTGTCATGCTAAGTGTTTGGTGTCTGCTGTGTTTCCTGTGTCTTCTGTCTCTGTTTTTCAGGAGGAGCCAGGTGATTTGTCGTGAGTTCCCGAGGAGTATCACGATTTGCGAGCGGTTTTCAGTCGATCCCGGGCGGCATCCCTTCCACCTCATCGCCCGTATGACTGCAGCATTGAGCTTCTTCCTGGAACTACTCCTCCTCGGGGAAGGCTTTATTCTCTCTCTGTCCCGGAGCGTCAGGCGTTAGAGAAGTATCTCTCTGAATCCTTAGACGCTGGCACCATAGTTTCCTCTTCCTCTCCGGCTGGTGCAGGTTTCTTTTTTGTGAAGAAGAAGGACGGCTCGTTACGTCCCTGCATCGATTACAGAGGTTTGAATGACATAACTATCAAGAACCGCTACCCCTTGCCACTTATGTCATCAGCCTTTGAAATCTTGCAGGGAGCTAACTTCTTCACAAAACTGGATCTTCGCAACGCGTATCACCTAGTCCGCATCAAGGAGGGTGATGAATGGAAGACCGCTTTTAATACCCCGCTGGGCCACTTTGAGTACCGGGTTTTACCGTTCGGCCTGGTCAACGCTCCTGCCGTATTTCAAGCTTTGGTCAATGACGTTCTGCGAGACATGCTAAACGTTTTTGTCTTCGTCTACCTTGATGACATTTTGATTTTCTCTCCGTCTTTACAGGTTCATGTGCAGCATGTACGTCGAGTCCTCCAACGACTTTTAGAGAACAAATTGTTCGTCAAAGCCGAGAAATGCACGTTTCATGCCCAGTCTGTTACATTTCTCGGCTCCGTCATCTCGGCACAGGGCATCAGTATGGACCCAGCTAAAGTTCGCGCGGTCACCGATTGGCCAACACCCGACTCTCGTATTGCGCTCCAACGTTTTTTAGGGTTCGCTAACTTTTACCGTAAGTTTATAAAGAACTTTAGTCAGGTGGCCGCTCCACTAACCACTTTAACTTCTGTCAAGTCTCGTTTTGTCTGGAGCAACGCGGCTCAGACCGCCTTTGATCATCTTAAGACATTGTTTACGACCGCGCCGGTTCTCGTCACCCCTGACACTTCTAAGCCTTTCATTGTCGAGGTTGATGCCTCAGAGGTAGGAGTAGGAGCCATCCTCTCGCAGCAGTCTTCTGCTGACGAGAGGATCCATCCTTGCGCTTTCTTTTCGCATCGTCTCTCTCCGTCTGAACGAAACTATGACGTGGGTAATCGCGAACTTCTCGCCGTCCGTTTAGCCCTGGGAGAATGGCGTCACTGGCTAGAGGGGTCTTCCTTTCCGTTCGTGGTCTGGACAGACCACCGAAATCTTGAGTACATCCGATCCGCTAAGAGACTCAACGCTCGTCAGGCTCGTTGGTCTCTATTCTTTGCTCGTTTCGATTTCTCCCTCTCCTACCGCCCTGGTTCTAAGAATTTAAAGCCTGACGCGCTGTCTCGTCAATTCTCCTCCCCCGAGTCGTCACCCATCGAGTCTATCCTTCCTCAGGAACGAGTGGTAGGGGCTGTTACTTGGGGAATAGAACGAACCGTCAAGCGCGCGCTTTCTAACGCAATAACTCCCCGTGGCTGCCCTAAGGGTTCTTTATTTGTTCCCCCCTCCGCTCGTCGTGCCGTTCTTCAGTGGGGCCACTCCTCCAAGCTTTTCGCTCATCCTGGGGTTAGGGGTACTATTGCGTCTGTGTCTCAGAAATTTTGGTGGCCCACTCGGGAACGTGATATCCGTCGTTTCATTGCGGCATGTCCTGTCTGTGCTCAGACTAAGGTTAGTAATAGACCTCCCGCTGGTCTCCTTAGACCGTTGCCTGTTCCGTCACGTCCGTGGGCTCAGATTAGCCTTGATTTTATTACAGGACTTCCCCCTTCGGGTGGAAAGACTGTAATTCTTACTGTCGTCGATCGATTTTCGAAAGCGGCTCGCTTTGTCCCTCTTCCAAAGCTTCCCTCCGCCAAGGAGACCGCCCAAATTGTTGTCGATCACATTTTTAAGATCCACGGTCTCCCTGAGAATATCGTATCCGATAGAGGGCCACAGTTCGCTTCCCTGTTTTGGAAAGAGTTCTGTCGCCTCATCGGAGCCACGGTCAGCCTTTCCTCGGGTTTTCACCCCCAGACCAATGGACAAGCTGAACGCGCTAATCAGACCATTGGCCGTATTCTGCGAAGCCTCGCGTACCGCAACCCTGCCTCCTGGTCTGAGCAACTTCCATGGGCAGAGTACGCGTTCAATTCCGCTCCCTCGTCCGCCACCGGCCTGTCTCCTTTTCAGAGCTGTTTAGGGTACCAACCCTCTCTCTTTCCTTCCTCGAGTCCGGAATCTAATGTTCCATCTGTAAATGCGTTTATCCAACGCTGCAAACGAACCTGGAGGACGGTGAGATCCGCTCTTTTAAAGTCTCACTCCATCACCCGTCGGTCCGCTAACAGACGTCGTATCAAGAGTCCCCGTTATGTCATTGGTCAAAGAGTGTGGCTTTCCACCGCCAATCTTCCTCTCCAGTATCCGTCTCGTAAACTGGCTCCCAAATTTATTGGGCCCTATCGCATAATTCAGGTCCTTAGCCCTGTCTCTGTGAGGCTCAGATTGCCATCCAATCTCCGCCGTGTTCACCCCGTGTTTCATGTCTCTTCTCTCAAGCCCGTTGTTCGCCCACCCCCCCCCGCCCTGTTGACCCTCCGGTTCGTGTCGAGGGCTCCCCAGTCTACCGGGTCCGTAAGATCCTTGATGTCCGTCCTCGTGGTCGTGGCCATCAGTTTTTGGTCGACTGGGAGGGTTATGGTATTGAGGAGAGAAGCTGGATTCCCGCCCGGGATGTCCTGGACCGCTCGCTCATCGACGATTTATTTCGCTCTCGTCAGTCTTCCTCTTTGAGTGCGCCAGGGGGCGCACTTTGAGGAGGGGGTACTGTCATGATCCTGGTTCCCTTCTCTTGTTTTATTGGTCTCTGTCTCCCTCTTCTGGTCATTCTCTGTATCTGTTCCCTTTTGTTCGCTCTCACTCTTCATCTACTTATCTTCCCCAGCTGTTTCTCATCTTCTCATTATCGCACCTGTTCTCTATCATATCATTAGCTTCTCTCTATTTCTAGTCTCTTGTGTTCCACTCTAGTTTGTCAGATTATTGTTGACCGTCACGTTTGTTACCGCAGTTGATCTCCTGTTATTTGTTATGTCCTGTCTAGTCCAGTTGTCAGTTATCCACCTGCTACTTTACCAGATCAGCGGTTACCTGTGTTGAGTCCAGAAGAGGTGTGAGGGATCTGCGCTTCTACAGTTCTCCTTTGCTCACCCTTCTCCAGTCCACGAGACCTGCTGCGAGCGCTTCTCTGTTTCTTCACGAATATTTTGAGACATTTCTGTTGATCGGCCGTTTCGGCTCTGCCTTGTTTTTTATTAAAGACTGTTTACCTGCTTTTCGTCTCCTGAAGTTTCCTCACGCAGCAGTCTTCGTGACAGTTGTTGTAAGACATTCTTCAAAATATCTACTTTTGTGTAACGTCATATGGGAAAATATTTGAGTGAGTTCCTTTTGTGTTCCTGTAGCTCAAACATTAGAGAGTGGAGGCCGTAACACCAAAGTCTTGGGTTCCCAGAATGCATTTATGCATTCCCAGAATGCATGAAGTGATAAATTGTATTCCTTGAATACAATGTAAGTGTCAGCACTAGAAGTGGTAAGCAGACGAGACACAGAGCCTGGGGGCTGACCAATGGAGGTGGAGCTGAACAAGGCTCCAGAGAAAATGAAAAGACGGAGGCCAAGACAACATTGCAGGCCCGGAAGTCCAAGGCAATGCCACCGGTTTGAGGGACCGAAGCAGTTATGGGAGCCTGGCGAAGCCAATGGGCTGACAAGCCAAGGTGGAGACCTGGGTCTGGAGGCCTGAGGTATAGCCAGGGGATCCGCCTCACAAAGCCTGAACTGGTGGTGAAGAGGCGCAAAGCCGGAGAGCTGGAGAGAGTCAGCGGTAAGGGGGAGATGAATAGTTAAGAAAAACTAATTCAGATCATTTTATGGGTTACTTGGAGCGAGTTCAGGGGTGGAAACAAGGATGTGAGCTGGCTTATTAATAAGCCAGCGTCTCTTCAACTGGCTCAGGAGTTAACTGCCACCACGGCGCAGACTCTGGGATGGACCTGGTGGTGGGCTCTGGCCTCAGGATGGAAATGGCTACCGGCTCTAGTTCCAGGATGAATCAGTTGGCTGGCTGTGGCTCCATGGTTGAAGATGACTCTAACATGTGACCCGTGGCAGGCACTGACCCAGGCTCTAGCTCAGTGACATGCGGTCTGGGTAGGCAAACTAGGCACTGCCTACCCTGCCAAAATTCTAAAATAAAAATGTTTATTAAATAATAAGCTTGTATTTGTATTTTTACTGTTTTTTCTTGTGATGTATATATGCAATATGGGTGTTATTCCAATTGTTTTAGACGTTACGATGACAAATGTAGCAGTTACGCATAATCAAATAAAAAACAAATGGTAGAATAAGCAGTGCTTTTACGGTCCATTCATTGCAGACGACAAGCGAAAAACCCATGTTGGGCATGGCCACTTCGATCCTATATTCTTTAACATGTACGGCAAAAAGCACAACTCTGCTGTGCCTTTGGACGTAAATATGCTATGCCCGTAACCATGTACGTTATATATCAGACATGGACCAATTAAAATCGAGATATTACTGGACATTTGCGTAGCTAACGTCATTACACCACAGCTAGCCTATGCCTAATCCACCGCCAAATTCAAAGTCAAAATGACAGCACCGGCCGTGATCATACAGTTCAGAAATTTTTCCAAGCTCGATTTTAATTCAAAATCTGAGTTAATAGCAAGAGGGAGGTCTATGCCAGCCTTAGATAGACTAGTGCAGCAACTGAAAGCCCATAAAGACGAGTTTTACAAAGTTGTGATTGACATCTTTTCAAGGAAAGAGCGGCGGATGGATTTTATGTACAAACAATCTACCGATTGGTGAGTCAAAAACTATTTTGGGCTTAATTTTGAATTGATAAATGTGGTTGAATTAATGCAAGCCATTTGCCTTCATATTCAATTGAGCAGTGTGTGATTTTTCTTTTGCTGACAGACATTTTGGCCGCTGTGCAAAAATTAAGGATTAAGAATGGTTGTATTCTGATGCTGGAGTGGACATTGTGCCGTGCTGGAGTGGCTGTGCCGTGCTTGCGTGTGTGCGTGTGTGAGAGAGAGAGAGAGAGAGAGAGAGAGAGAGAGAGAGAGAGAGAGAGAGAGAGAGAGAGAGAGAGAGAGAGAGAGAGAGAGAGAGAGAGACTTGACTTTAGATCTTCTTTAATCAATCAATAAATACATACGTGCCTCATTAAATAAAATAAAATAAAAAACAAACAAACAGAAAAAACATTTTAGCCTACTTACATTACATTTATACATACATGAAATATGTTATTGTTGGTAGGTTTTTTTTTTTTTGTTTTTTTAAATTGAACAGTAAACACTCATCAACATCACAAATACACTGATTTACATCCCATTTACCTTTAAACATCTTCATATCATTGACCAATTTATAATATGTAAACTCAATTTTAACACGATATTTTAATAACCCTTTTAAAACAGACACAACATCAGTTGACCCAGCATCGATCAAGCGATGTTTTCTTGATAGCCATATCGCCAATTTTGCCTGACCAAAAAGAGAGTTTAACAGAACATGTTCCTCCCTCCTACTTTTAGTATACTTTGGTCCATAAATAAAAAGTACTGGCATAAAAACTCCCCCTAACTTTTGAACCCACTCTTCTAAGATACGAAATAAGGATTGAAGTCTTTCACACTTTAAAAACAAATGAAAAACAGTCTCTTCCTCACTACAAAAAGGACACCCCATCCCTACCTCTGGATCAAGGTGTGCTCTGTGTCTGTTTGTAGCTATAATCACGTGAACTACTCTCCACTGAAGGTCTCCAGACCGTTTCTCAATGGGCAGCTTATACAGGGACCTCCAGCGTCCTTTAGGGGATTCGCCTGGCCCCAGAACCTCCGTCCACTTGGACTCACTGTCACTCTGCAGTGTGTTAAGATGCCACACTTTCACACACATAGTGTAAATGTCTTTCTTATCAGCATCTCCAAAGGCGGCCATATAAGGCATCTTGAAAGACAAAAGGCAGCCCTCCTTTTCTTGCCATGTACCAGTCTTTGCTGAGAAAAACAAATCTGGAAAGTCACAGTTCTCAGCCTCTTCATCAGAAGTCTCCATTGCCTGTTGATAATCCTGAGGCAGAGATGCTAAAATCTGAGTCAACATTTGTTGTGCCATCCTGACTGATTTTATTCCAAGTTTTAAAGCAAAATTTTCGGGGCTTATCCAACTTTTTTTTATCTTTTAAGTGTCCAATCTTTGTCATATTTGCAGCCCACATGGCTTTTCTGAAAGTGTCTGATTTAAAAACATCTGATTCCAATTCAGAATTGAAAAAAAGTGGTTCCTCCTTCAGCCATAATTTTTTGTGCCATCTGCACTCCGTGAAAACTTAAAAAGTATCCATGACTTTAAGATTGATCTATAAAAGACACTCAGCCCACTCAAATTCAGTTTGTCAAAGTCCATCAAGAACAAATGGCGATCCAGCCCCATGTTTCCAGCTCTTCTTAGGAGGGCACAGGCTACTTCAGCCCAGCTCACATCGACTCCATAGAGCAGTCTTTGTGCCGTCTTTAATCTGAAAGTCCTGAGTCTCGCTCGGACATCCACCAACCCCCCTGGCCTCCTTCTTGTGTGGGTAAATACAGTACCGCCGCCTTCAGCCAGTGCTGTCCCGACCAGAAAAAATCCACTAGTTGCTTTTGTATCCCTCGCACTAGTTCCTCAGGAGGTTCAAGTATTGTCATTCTGTGCCAAAGTGAAGAAGCAATCAAATTGTTGCATATTAGGACCCTCCCCCTATATGACAACTGGGGTAGCAACCATTTCCATCGAGACAACTTTGCACACACTTTCTCCAAGAGGCCCTCCCAATTTTTATTTTTAAACTCTTCTGTCCCCAAAAACACTCCTAAGTAATTAATCCCTGCCCTTCCCCACTGTAATCCACCAGGAAGATTTGGACCTTTAAAAACACTACCACACCACAAAGCATCACTCTTTCCCCTGTTAACTACTGCTGATGAGGCTTTCCCATAAAACTCTAATGCCTGTTTAAGCACCTGAATGTCACTTTGATCTCTGATAATAACTGTGACATCATCAGCATAGGCAAAGAGTTTAACAGAACAATTTAAGGTATTGACCTTTATCCCCTTTAACTCTCTTCTCATTTTACTTAACAAAGGTTCCATTACAATACTGTGTAATTGGCCCCATATTGGACAACCTTGTCTGATTCCTCTTTTAACATTAATTGGGACACTCAAACCACCACCCATTTTGATCATACATGTCGCTTCGGCATATAAAAGTGTAATCCTTGAAATAAATTTTTCCCCAAAACCAAAAGCGCTAAGGGTGTCAAACAGAAAACCATGATCCACCCTGTCAAAGGCCTTTTCCTGATCCAAAGACAACAGGCCCATATTAACATCTTTACAATAAGCATAGTCAACAACATCCCTGATTAAATGAAGATTATCCATGATTGATCTGTTTTTAACACAATACGATTGATCCTTGTGTACCACTTCATACAACACCTTATTTAATCTATTTGCAATAACCTTAGACAAAATTTTATATTCTGTACACAAAATTGCCACAGGTCTCCAATTCTTTAAAAGTGTTAAATCTCCTTTTTTCGGGAGCAATGATAGAACAGCTCGTTGACAGCTTGTTGGAAGAACACCTTCACTAAAGCATTTCTGAAGTACTTCAAAATAGTCATCTCCAATTATTGTCCAAAAAGATTTATAAAACTCGGCCGGTAGTCCATCCAAGCCAGGACTCTTATCTGAGGAGAGACCCTTTACAGCCAGAGCTATCTCCTCAAAGGATATATCAGTCTCCAAGAGCTCTTTATTGTCTTCAGATACACCGGTAAGTCCTTTAGCAGCTCTCTACTGCAATGCTCATCAGATGATTCAGCAGCGTACAAGTTGGAGTAAAACTCAACAGCAATCTTTCTCATTTTCTGTGGGTCTGAGGTAACATGACCAATATTGTCCTTCAAAGAAAGCATCAATTTTTGCTGACCCACTTTGTGCTCTAAATTAAAAAAGAAAGTAGTAGGAGCATCCATGTCCTTCAGGGTTGAATAACGGCTTCTTATGAGAGCTCCTTTAACCCGTTCATCCAGAATTAAACTTAAATTATTTTTCTTTTCAGTCCAACATTCTTTTATATTGACTTTGGTGTGAGTGCAGCAAGCTGACTCACTAGCTTAGGACTTCAAAGTTCTTTTGTACTCAACACAAAACGTCAGCGAATAAAAGTCTTGAATCCAAAGTTCTTCGTTTGACTGTTTAATTATAAATTTCAAAACATAAAATAAAACAAAAACTTAGGATCTTTACTTTTCTTACAAATTAACTAGTTCCGTGTAGGTCAAAAGACTGTGTTGCTCCAAAGTCCAGTGGCTTCTGGCTGCTTCGCAGGATTCTATTTCTTTCATACTAAATCTAACAACCAATCACATTACATTATACTAGATCACTGGTCAACTGTTTACATTCAAATTTCTACGTTCCATTTACAACACAGGTTTTCTCAGGTTTTACTAAATAAACTCAAAATATTATTATTACTTCCATTGAAATGGCTTCAACATATCCCGGTCCCTAATTGACTAGGCCTTAACATATCAATTATCAACTTAAACTTAAACTGAAGCCATTTATACTCCTAAATGTAACACTTTCTCAATTCCTTTTGGCAAAAATCTTCTTCTCTTCACAGAGAAGTATTTAAAGTAAACATTAACTGGAAAGCATTAACAACTAAATACTTTTCACAGACTAATCAAACTGGTAATTTCTATTCAACATTCAATCTACTCTGGTAAGTATTTTTAGTTTATTCAAGTCTTTCTCTTCTATCTTCAGTCTTCTCCCTGCAATAAACAAAGTTTAGTTATGGGTCTTTGAATGATGCTGGTCTTCGTTCAAACTTCAGCACTTCGGACAACGCCTTTGGATTCGGGCATCACCCTCATGATTCTGCCTTACACCCAGGAGTTTCTTGGCAGGAACGAATCTGCGACGAGGACGACATCTCCAACCTTGAAACTTCTCTTTAGGCCGAGCCATTTTTGCCGTTCTTGCAGAAGCGGTAGGTATTCGTGAGTCCACCTTCGCCAGAATAGATCCGCCATATATTGTATTTGTCTTCAGCGCCGGCGGGCGTAGACATCATCCTTAGCGAACACACCAGGTGGAAAACTAGGCTGTGTTTTCAACGCGAGCAGATGATTCGGCGTCAGCGGCTCGAGGTCATTGGGGTGATCTGTGTTCGTGGTTAAGGGTCTCCCATTGATGATGCTTTCAACTTCGCATAGGAGAGTGTGTAGTCCTTCATCTTCTAAGAGCTGTTGCTTCACAACAGAGCTCAGCACTTTTCTCACTGTGGGGATTTGACGTTCCCAGATACCGCCGTGATAGGATGCAGCAGGCGGGTTGAAAATCCATTGCACACCCTTTCTCATCATGACTTCATTGATACGAGACTGATCCAGCTCTGACAATGCCTCACGCAGCTCTCGTTCAGCGCCGACAAAGTTTGTGCCATTGTCGGAACGAATGATTGACACTTGGCCTCTTCTTGCTTGAAAACGCCGTATGGCATTAATACATGAATCGGTGTCAAGAGAATGGGCTACTTCTATATGCACTGCCCTGACAGTTAAACATGTGAAGAGCACTCCATAACGCTTAACCTTTGCACGTCCTCTTCTGACCTCAAAAGGTCCAAAATAATCCACACCCGTGTTGGTGAAGGGTGGTTTGTCAGGAAGCAGACGGTCTTGTGGCAGATCTGCCATTTTCTGCTCTCCTGCCTTTGC